CCCCAAAACCCCAAAACCCCAAAACCCCAAAACCCCTTCATCGAAAATTCTTTTTGAAATTTGTATTTAAAAAATTTAAACTAAATATGTTGATTTGTTTTCTCATTCCTTCCTATGTGCTTTACATAGCAGTATATGGATGGTGGCTGTACTGCAAGCTAGTTTTTGACCAAGATGAATTATTCAAGCACTCAGATATGCTGGTCTATTTCTGGCTATTTTTAGCAGTGTATCTGCATCTTTCATCAATCAGAACTATCAATACGAGGTAATACATCATTGCTAACTTTTTAATTATTTATCGAAGCTATCACTCGACTGCAAAGATCAATATGTAATCGTGTGGAACCCACTTGATATTTCACACATTGAAATTATCAAGGCTTTGTTTGATTTTTAATTTAGATTTTTGGTTAAATACTACATTCTGTATTTGAAAAGATAATCTAACATTATCATTCATAGGTATGGTTACAGTAAGACCACATTCAGTGATAAAAACAAATACATTCAAGCAATGGTTTATGCTTCCCTCATGCCCGTTATATTCTTTGACTGGGAGTGTGCCAGGAACTTCTCTCTGTTTCTTGCTGTAACTTTTAAAAAGTTCTGGCCTATTCTAGCAATAGCAAAGGTATGCGCAGTGACATCTGTGTGGGTAGTGATTGCCACTCACATGGATTACCTCGACCACTGGCAATATTACGGATGGCTGGGCTTTAGTATTAGCATGACAGTCTTGCTTTTGGTAAAGTTCGTCTGGATGCTACATCTGTATGTGTGGCTGTTTTACCTAGCTCCTTTCCTGTTGTATTGGGTTTTATACTTACTTATGTGGCCTTTTCTGAAATGTTGTGCTTGTGCTAGGAAATGAATGGGACTAAATAAGAAGAGAAAGGATGAAGATGATATTAGTGTTAGTGAAGAAGGTAAAGCTGATGTCGTTAGCAGTGAGCCTCCTCAAAACAGCATCCCAATTCAGGAGAGCAGTGATTATGAAGGAGGGGATGAGGAAGACCCAGATGGAGCTCTTCATACTGATAGAAGTATGAATTTAAGAGAAAGTCAGAGGAGATCGGAAAAATATAGAATTGAAGAGGATAGAATTGAAACTGAAGGAAACCTTAATAATAGGAAGAGTATCTCAAAAAGAGAGTCATCTAAGGAGGAGGATGAAAAAGATCAGAAGGACAAAAAGAAAAAGAGTAATAAAAAGGATAAGAAGAAAAGAAAAATATTTAACTCGCCAATTGAAGATTTGTGGTATTTTGCAAGAGTTTGGAGAGCGCTTATGAGTAAATATTGCCATACTTGTGATAAAGAAATTTTAAGTTATCAAGAAGACTACCAATGCGACATCGGGCACACCTTACACGTGAGCTGAGCTAATGTAAAGTGGATTGGAAAAAAGGTATGTCCAATATGTGTGAAAGAGCCAGAGAGGCCACCAGTGGAGATGGCTGCCAATGGCGAAATCAAGAAAAATAAAGGATCTTATGAAATAGAAAGTAGTGAAATGAGCCAATTGCCTCAAAAGCCTAATGTTAAATAATTTCAACACTAAATTTAATGGAGGGGTTTTGGGGTTTTGGGGTTTTGGGGTTTTGGGGTTTTGGGG